TGAATGGTTGTAGATTCTTCTGTAAAGATCTTACTTTAATAAAACATTTTAAAGCACTTGGTATTCTCTAGGGAACAATGAGTTAGATTTATATGATGTCAAAAAAATGAGTTAGATTTATCTAGAACACTGTGTATTGCAGTTGTGGCTACTTGTGGGACAGATCACGGAGCAAATGGTGGCTAGCAAAAATACTCTCTCATATCTAACCTGCTACACATATTTGTATTGTACTACGGGAGCTAACTTGTTGATCACAAGGACTCACGCCTCGCAAATAACTCCAAAATATTTCGATATCAGAATTTCATATGTCTGATACTCAGATCTAACATAAAAGACAAGCTTTCATTGATTCCCAACGTTGATATCATCAAGAGAGCAACTCGAAGTCATCGCTCAAATGCTCTACAGGACTGACAGGCTAATTTTACATTTTTTTAAGGAATATTCCATTTTTCTACAGCAAGGAGCTTAGTATTTACTGAAAACAAATAAAAAATATTGAACGGGCATACTTTATGGTAACATAAGAGCCATACATTCAATCAACGTAGTGGCTTATCTAGATTTTGTTTGCAAGTATGACAACATGGGTGCCATCAAAAGACAAGTGGGCATAATTAATTTTCTGAATTTACCAAGCCATAATTGTATCGAGAAATCTAACCACCAGTCGGCAGGATTTTAGTAATAGATCCGAACGACTCCTTTGCCGTTCGATCCGAATCATGCAGGCGCGCGCTCGTCTTTCCTCTTTCCCGATTTTCGTCTTCCCTCTTTCCTTATTTTCTGGTTTCAGTTTCCTATTCTATCAGTAGTAATTAACGTTTCCTTTAAAATTGCACCTGCCACATTTGCACTGCTTCAATCCTGGCCCGATTGTTGCTCCCACCTCGAAATCTCGCAATAATTAATGCTGGATTAATTAGCATGCATGCCGCACCATTTTTACGGGATTATTAAAGCAGCGGTCAAAAATATAGGTCATTCACGGGATTTGATCCTTAGTCGTTGGTTTAGTACATTTGCCCACCAACCACCTATTGTATGTCTAGTCCTTGTGCAGATGAAAGAGTATTTTCATGGTTGACTTTTCGTTTTTATATTACCATTATAGAAAAAACCATTTATGTAGTGCTATTAGAGTGGAACAAAATTCACCTCGCATGGCTATGATGGTCTCGCCGCAAAACGCCCCGATGGTGCCGACGGACAATGTTAATACGATAGGGTGAATATGTATAAAGCATGATAATTTACACATAGCACATCTAATAACTTGCATACAAACACTATGATAACTTTGACAGGAGTGGGAGGTTGTTGAGACCATACCCCTGATAACTTCTATGTGAAGAGCATGCTAATTTACGCATCATTTAGCTGATAACATGTGTA